CGTATCTTTGCAGCTGGCTTGTAATGCTTGTAATGATTTCGAATTGGGTTTTAGTGCCGCGAAGCAGACTTCTGGATCGTGGATGATAAAGGAAACAGGTCAGAAATTAATGACCCGCACTTCAGAGTCTATTATATCTTCAGTTTTCTTGTGGTTATCCACCATTTTGAATCGTTGTTGCAAGTATAATATATATTAAAGGATATTATTAGTAATAATGCCATAAAAAGAAATGGGGAAAGATGAATAATATACCCACCGTGGTTGGCTTTCTTTGTGCAAAACGTCAGCTTACCAGATGCGGTGGTTATTACGAGTCGGGATCACCAACTCTAGTGGTGTTCATAGTCAACCACTACTTGAGCCACCACACATCTTTTGTGTAATTTCCCAAAGGACAGAAACACCGTTCGTACGAAACTAGTTGCTTTATTCTGATGATTTGATAGATACAGGGTTATAACCAGGAAACGAATCTAAAGACCTTGATATATGATCGGAAAATAGGGTTACGTCGATCGACGGATTGAAGGAGAGTGTTCTTAAGAGGTTCCCACAATATCTTGTGCTCTTGTCTAAGGTGTCATTTTTATGCTTGTTTGCTACCCCCAGCACGATTATACCCGTAGGATGTCTGAATGAATTTTACCTGGTACTGTTGCTCCGAATTCGGTATGTCATAGTGAGATGGATTTGTTTGACTCTGAAAATAAATCAGTTTATGTATTGATATGATAAATTTTTATGACTTTTGTTCATTCCTAATGAAAATTGCTTTCGTGTAACTTTACCGAACTGTATTTGACGTCAACAAATCATAACTTTTCTGTACGATCACATAATTGCAATATCATACAGATATTTCTTTACACTGATTTGATTTCACTTGTAGTGTGTACTGATATTTCGAACCCACATGCCTTTTCCTAGCTTCTGGACAAACTAATTATTCTTTTCTGCTCTAGTTACTATTCGAAAGTCTTTTGAACTTATCAACTAACCGCTTATATATTTTACTTCGCCTGTAACATGTCTAGCCAATTTTCGTCTGACAATAAATACTTAGTCATGCGTTATCTCATTGAATTATCCCACTTGCCTTCTTGACTTCGTTTTGCTTGTATTCTTTTTATTCCCATGTCTGTTTGCTTGTGGGATTGTATGAAATACACACATCCATCTGAATCTATCTTTGGATTTGTATTTTCTCCGTCGCACAATCGGGGTTCACCTAAGCATGATATATGGATACCGAAGCAAAGATTCAATATATTCAAATGTTCTTCTTAATCGCAGTCAGATCCCGGGCCATAAACCGTTTTTTGAGTCCTGTTTGATCACTATTTTAACAGGTGCGCAGTCTGTGCAAGGGACTGGTGATTAAATTATACAAACATTAAAGGATAAAAGAGCAAAAGGATAGAATATTAATAATCCTGGGACCTATTGATTCCGATTGGTGACAATGTAATCCAGTTTAGAAACCCATTCATTTGGCCCTCAGAAATATATTCAGCTAAGTATTAGATCCTTATCTGAAGTTTTTTGTGACAGCGTATGAAAGTCACTACTCATAAACATTACTGTAGTTGGTTCTCCTTGATCTATCCATACGCACATTCCGTTGAATTTTGGATTAAAATGAGAAGGTAGCTATCTATTTTGTATTGCTGTATATTTGTTTTTCTTGAGTCTCCATCGAATTTTTATGACTTTAATGAATTAAATCTATGTTATCAACAGAAACGGGTGATAGCTAACAGTGAAATCCAGGATGCGTGTTTCGCGTCATATAGGACGCCTCAGCTGTGTGTACCTGTATCTTGCCGTTGGTTAGGGTGGCCGCCATATTGATTTGCTCCATCTTCTGATTGTGTTACTTGAAACTGACTAGAACGGTCCATTATTTTGACTGTGAACTGAAGCATATTTCAAGAAGTGGAAATATTCGGCAGTGTAACTAACGTAAATATTACCCCTGTAACGAACTGTTGGTGGTCCATCCAAAAAATGTAGAATGATGTTCTCACATTTATCGAAATGTTTATTTATTGAGGCTGATAATTGCATTATACCCTTTATCACATTATCTACTCAATGTAATGTACAGTCGATTGGTTGAATTTGCTGAACACTTATTGGTGGAATCACTGGGAACTAATATTTTTTAGGTAATGATGTGTGTTTGCATTTTAAACTTTTCATAGAATCTTCAGTTACCTAACCACTTTGTTTTAGATCTTGAGTGGGCCAGAGCAAAAGTGTCTAAACTAACTTTCACGGTTGTCCACGATCCCAAACCGCCTTAGTTAGGAAACAATACTTAAATTATGATTATAAAAAAATTTAACTAGCCAATACTCCAAATATCTGTTGAAATATGATTTTCAACAGGAAACTGAAATCATTCATTTTCTGTAGTAAAAATCTTCCAAACGGTACGTAGTATAAGGAACAACTTAATTTCAAAGAAACCTTTTTAGTTTCTGCTAGGAGCGTTCATGGAAGAAACTATGCCAACTATCATGGCGTTTGCATTGAACAGCAGTTGCTATTACTTGAAAGAAATAGATTAAATTAATACTGATATTGTTTGTGTATCATCTACACTTAGTTGGCTGCTCTCCAAACTTCACCAATAATTCAAAATACAATTCATCGGTAATAAGGGCACTACTATTCGACACAGAAAAATTAGCATAAAAATTATACAGAATTAGTCAGTTAATTGAAGAGTGAAAAACAGAATACTAGGAATCATAAAAGCAGCCGCCAAATTAATTGGTTAAATAATATATGACTAATACAGGCTGTAAAACACACACAACTAAAGTGACTGATTAAGGAAACTTAAATTTTACGAGAAATGGATGCTCCACCGTCATCGTCCACCTGAGCTATAAATTTTCTCAACCATCTCAAAATAAACAAAAACACAGTGAACAAGTGGTAAAAATAACAAGTTTATATTCCGGATAAAACTGAAGATTGTTGTTATGTAGGATCCAAACTGAGGTTTGAACTAAGGAATAACTGTCCAGGTAGTTTAAATACGCGTCTTGACCCAGTTTAAACCAAAACTAGTGATTTGGGTAAATAACGATTCTAATATTCTTCATAAATATTAATATACATCATTACCTAAACAATACTACTACTCAACTATTCCACCAACATTTGTTGAATTAATCAAATCCACAACAGCAAATAAATGACATTCTTACCCTCCTGGATAAATCAGATTCGTTCACAGATATTATTTGGTTGCTTTATAACACAGAGTGTTCCTATTCTGGAAGAGTGCTTCAATTCACAATCAAAATGCACAATTCCAGTCAAAGCACACAATCCATTCAAAAGAGGAACAAATCAATATGGCTGTCATCATGACTAAGTATCAGCTTAAACAACATAAATGAAGTTCAGAAAGAAACGTAGAAACTCAGTGAAGGCAAAAGAAATAGAATCTATTATAAAATACAAGTATTATCATCTCAAATGAAATCGAACAGACTAACAAAATGCAGAACTGAAAGAATCAATAAGGACAAATTACAAATGTATACATGGAGGGATTGTCACAAACAAAAATACATCTTAGAGTTATGGGGATTTTCACGAACATGCAAACACTAAAAAAAACCTATCCCAGGTTGAAAATTTTTGTGAGACTTCTATGAATACATCAGAATACAGCAGATCTAAACATTTTTACACACTTGACATAATTATCCAAAAGCTAATCCAGAAGTTCACTTAGGATAAAACATGAGCAAAGATAACACAGTGTTACTGGTGCAACAACATTTAGGTTTGTTTACATTTTTCTCTTTACGGTGAATGAAGTTGGCTTTTAAGAGGCAGTTTCTGCTCGTTACACTAAACAGATCTATTAATTTTCATGAAAACAGGACTTTTTGGTATTTAGTCGAGATATGCTCTGGGTACAACAGAACCTTATGATGCTATTTCCCATTTATCTTATCAGTAATATTCCGAAGGTAACAAGTCAAAGACGTTACCACTGATCTATCCTAGCCGCGACTGACGTGTATTTACGATTGGTCGATCACTGGAAAATGACCAATGTAATGTTTCGGGTTTTTCCTTTCCCGTCAACTACCTCCAAACCGTACCTTACATCTTAATATAGAGTACAGGATGTTAAATCATCTGGATTAGTGGGTATATTGCAACTTGGCCGATGAAATTTGAACAGCATGGAGAAGGATATGAAACATGTGACACCGGTCACAACTCAGTGATCAATAAATTATAGAAATAGTCAGGAATATAGGAGCGAGAGAATTCCAAACTGTCTACAAGACGAATGAGGATAGTCTTTCGTGGCTTGTGCTGAAACATACCCATGATATTCAGCCTAGTCTCTTCAGCTAGCAGTGTCTTTTAAAACATCAGCAACAATATCGAACGTTTAACGAACTATGTAATTTTTGATTTTGTTAACTATTAAAAGTATTCTTCTTCAATAGATATCTTATTATCTTTCAGATTCATCGATACACATCAAAGCATTCGAAATAGTTTCGAAATTCTCAATGATAGGTAATTTTCTGACGTTACGTAGATAAATTATTGTCGTTCTTCTGAATATGGCTTCTAGAAACCATTGATACCTCGTAATAATAGTATTTAACTCCCATGAAGTGAAATAACTGAAAGTCAAAAGGTTCAATTCAACAGAACTGTTTATTTATGTATCAAACATGAGTACAAGTGAATAATAGTGCGGTGATATTTAAACTGCATGATAGTTGGATTAGTTATGAACATGAGCTCTTCAGTGAAAAGAGTGTTAGCGTAATGTGTGAATTACCCCTTTAAAAAGCAGTATAAATATTAATTAATGTCCGTACAAATAGCTAACCATATTTTATTCTCACAAGAAGTAACTTACAATGAGTCGTAAGACGTTAGAAAAATTTTTGCTTTTTCACCACAAGTTTGCTATTTTTATTAAGATTAATTTTTTTTAATGACTGAAAATGAAGTCGCACATTTTGTAACAACATATTCACTAATTATGATCTAATAGTCTTCCTGATGTTCCATTGATTTGTAACGTTTTAACCAAGATCCAAGATATTTGATTGGTTCATCTGGTTTAACTATAGCTAGTTCTGTTAGTCCTAAAGTCAGAGGTTCATCTGTAACGTAACAAATAACAGTAACAAATATAAAACAATACTTAAAAAATGCATTACTGTTAATTTCATAGACTATGGGCCAGGAATTTCAGATTGTGTATTTCCTCTTTAATTCTACAGATATAACAGTTTAAAACCATTTTGATAAACTAAGTGCATTTTCTACATTACATGAGGATACTAATAAATGAAGATATGTTATTACATTAAAAGTTTCTTCTTTAATCTAACCACATACTATCTATGGTAAGAAATTGTAATAAATCTTAATATCGAAGTTAGCTTTCTTTTTTGTTATACTTTCGTTTACTTTGTGAGTAACTGTTTCAAGTATTTAATGTTCAATATCTTAAAAATCTTCAGATCATAGCTGCTAAGATTTGTTAAAACTATTATTATAAGCAATCTTACCTAAAATCTCGTCCTCTGTACTTTGTAGCATAGAACATAGAAAAGCTTCACACGTTTTCATGATTCTGTAGATGAGTTTCTTAGAGAGTTCCTTCCGGTGTAGCCTTCGTGACTCCTCATCAAAACAATGAACTTTGAAAAGTTATAGAATCTCAGTCATGATAACAAGTAACTCAACATTACTAAGGTTAGTTGCAGTGCCTAAAATAATTCATACTTATGTAGATAATTAATGTCAAAATGTAACCATTTTTTACTTAAGGTATTTGAATTATTAATTTATGGTTGATAAAAGTCTACCTGCTTGAAAATCTGAAGACAACATTAGTTAACTATTTTCTGTTCTTCTCAACCATTCATAGAGTAAATGAAAATTACTTTCTACAAAGCCTTATAAGACCTCATAGATGATTCCACTGACTCTTCACATATTTCATTTGTCTTCCTTTACTATTTATATAGTTTAACAGATTATTCAAGCAACAATTTTCATAATTATCACTTCTATGAGTTTATTCATCCAAGTTTTAATCTATCTTATACTTTGAAATATTCACCCAAGTTTCTATTATTCATAGCACTACGAGTGGATTTGTCATTCTGTCAAAAAGTTTTATCTGTTGCCTTGTATTTATCACTATTGGTTGAATAATTTACTTCATTTTCGGAAAAGACTTATAAATTGTCTTGATTCTTTGAGTTTATATAAATACTACTGTCTAGACCGTAAAGCTTAATAAACATCTATTCGAAAACAGTATTAATCATTGACACAAAATTTTGCACAACGCTAATTTCTAGTAGTTTAGAAATAATCTGTCAAAATCACAATTAATATATCGAGCGTCTATCTGAAATTTTCATCCCAAACAGCAAAATACGTAGACACGTAAATGCAATACACTAAAAGGTCTACGCCTTTATGTTTCGATTTGATAAAAAGTAGTTCCCGAAAATCTGAAATAAGATCGCCCTCTCATGTCGATGTACTGTGTTCCAGAAAATATGTCTAGCCATTAATTAACAATCTTGGAACAATAAAAGTGAAAAACTCTCTATTGAGAGTTGTTAAACTTTGTCTCAACTGCTACGATTGGACAAAAATATCTTTCAGATGTTTGTAATGTTGAACACAATATTATAATTTTTAAATGTAAAGATTTAATTTAATTCAACATTTCCTATCATTTTCATCATGTCTGAGAAGGGATGAATTGTAAAAATAAAGTAAATAACACATGTAACTGCAATGAATGTGAACTAATCTGAACGAATGCAAGGTATTAGATATAAAAAATTTTGATGCAATGACAGATTTACTCGTAGTGCTAAGAATAATAGAGACTTGGATGAATATTTCACAATATAAGATTGATTAAAAATTGGATGAATAAACTTATGGAAGTGATAATCATGAAAATCGTGTAATAAGTTATTTGTGAAGAGTGAGTAAATATGCCTATCAAGTTCGCTCAGGCCACTCGAAATGCTCCGGTTTATTTAGTCTAACACATGTTCGCTTTTAATAAAGTTTGTTAATAGAGTTTTCCATTGAATTCATTTGAGGTTTATCATTATTGAAATAACCGTCATGCTCTTACAAATATATAATTTTTACCTATTCAGTTATGGTGTTCACATAAGACATTTCAATGTTATCTTTGAGCAGTGATACCAACTTTCATTGTTTCACTAATCTCTGTTAAAACAACAACCAAATATTCACAAACATACCTTAAATAATATGTATCTACCCTTAATTGATTTCTACTAGAATATTTATGTGGATATAAGTCAAAAATAAATTTAATTGATAACTTTGAACACTTACATAGTCTATTGAATACATCAGATCCAGAAGAGCAAAGAGAGATTGGATTCTTTTGTCCAAATGAATGATTTTTAATCATTCTTCGGAATTTTTCAATTTCTAAAATATAAACAATACTGTGCAGTAATATCACACCATAAAAATCATTCTTTGCTGAATAAACTTTGATGAAAATTATAATAAATAAATAACTGCATTATTATTTTCAATTGAAATTATGGAGATTAGTGTTTTTACACATTTTGAAATCATCAATCAATCAATCAATCATTGTTAGACTACCATTAGAAACCTGGAACCACTGAACGGTCGTTTCGTCCTGGTATGGGACTCATCAGCAAAGAGTATCCACGACTCCTGCACCTCGCAGAATTCGAACCCGTGACTTTCGGTATTGTGCGCGAAAGCCTAACCTCTGGTGGTCTAACAATGATTGAGTGATGATTTTAAATTTGTAAGTTACTATTACTTTGGCTCACTTCAATAAACTATGATCAAAGCAAAAATAACAGAAACTAGTAAAAGTATTTTTGATGATATCACTTAAAATATATTGATATCTGCGAGATGTATCATTAGTTGGGTAAATCTTTCAAAACCTATCAATTCTTTATTTGATGGTTAAACGATGTTTACTAAATGAAAATACGAGTTAATGCCTCAGTGAACCTTGCTTTCTTCAGTTCAAGCGAATTATCATATTTTGTATTGAAATACCTGTGACATACAAAGGACATAACAAAACACTTTTTTTAAGAAAACAACAGAACTTGAATGTTTTGCAGCCAATATTATCATGTCTAGGTGAAATTACTTTAGGAGAAAATCGTGATCTAGAAAGGATTACGCTACAAATCTTCAACATTGTTTTTTACACTTATATAAAATGTGCTAATCTAAAAGATGAGTAAACATCTAAACCTTTTATAATATTTATTCTTATAAAACCAGGAAATGTATTTTATAAAAATAGGAAAAACAAGTGTTTTTAAATTTAGATAGAATTCTCTTTAAATTGATTTCAATGAAAAGTTGGAATAATATTCAATTATAAATTATAGTCATGCATGCCTAAACTAGTCAGCAACTGGTAGTGTCATCACTATATTGCCTTTAGATAAACAAGTCTTTCATTTGTTTGTGTGATTATTTCTATCGAAACCTAAAATCAGAAACTATTTTTTAAACTAGAACAGGACGATCCAAATTTTAAATGAAACTTTTTACTATCCCACTATAGCATGAAATCTTTGGAAGAATATATGAAAAACTAACGGTTAACTAATATTAATAAAAGATAACTGGTATTAAGAAATACATGGAAAATACATGAGTTTATCCTGTGGACTGAAATAGTCCGGTTAGCAGTGGCCATTATTTTGGCCCCTAGCATGGGACCTCTTGACAGCGTACAATCGCGAACCAGTTAAGTATCGAAATCAAGGTCATCAGGCCTCGCACAGAGACTCAATCGTTCATAATACTAACTTCAATCGGTTTGCATAGTAAGATAAGGCAATTTTTCTGTATCCTACAGTTTCCAACGGTGGTTTAACTATAGCCACTTCATGATATAAACTCTTAACTTAGACAAACTTTGTTTGTTGAAAATAAATGAGCTCTTGTTAATGTAAAGACTGCATTCATTATTCTAACACTCACCAAATAAAATATAGTGTACAACATGTTAAGTTAATTTGATTAATGGCCACCATACAACTTTCCCAACAAAATTTGATCTACCATAAGGACTAGACAAGTACAACATTGGTTACCATTTGCTGATCACTCAGTTTAAGTCAATCACCTTTACTTGTTAAATTGATACAGTGCATTATTGGCTCACTTCTGTAAGTCTGTTTAGATATGACATTGCTTATTATGACTTTACGTCTACTTAAACTTATGTTAAATAAACTTACTGTGTTTTTGCTCTACTGAAGTGATATTTTTTGGATTTGTTGATAAATGTTTTTGTGATTGTTGATGTTTATTTAAACATTCTTTCACAAAACTAATTTCATCAAGTACGTTTGCCCTAGATATTCTTCTTTCTCTATCTTCACCACCATCGACATCTGAGGAATTGAATTTAACATACAACTGATTATCATCTTCTTTATTGTTTAAAACAAATTTTACATCCTTTTTATAGGTTGTGGAACAACTAGGTAATTCATGGATTTTTTGTGATTCATGTTGATAATGAAATAGACGCTGATTAGCTTCATTTAATACATTGTCGATTGATAATTTCTCCTGTGATTTTTGACTATTTGGTGTCATTTCTGGTATTTTGAAGTTTGGACAAATATAATTAAAGGATATAACAGAATTACTATCATTAATATCATAAGTTGAACTAGTCGTAATAGGCTGATCATGATGTTTATCAATCTGATTTATTGATGATGCATCATTGTATACCAGTTCATTCTCTTTATGTATTCTTGGAATTATCATCTGATTATTATTATTATTGTTATAATTTACTGTGACTACTGCATTTTTTAATTTATTTTTAATCGTATTATTATTATTATGATGATCATTTGAAATTGTCGTACATTCTGAGTTCTGCTTATCAGTATGACCTAATACTTCTTCTATATCGATTCCTGTTGAACTTTCAGATGAAATTTCATGATCTTTTTCAATAAATTCATCAATCTCACCAACTGAAGTATTATAGGATACTGTAGAATCATCTGTTTCAATTTTCACTACATCTTTTTCTAAAATTTCACCAAAATTCAGTTGATTTTCATAAAAGTTATTAGGCAATGTAAATTCATTACTTCGACCATTAACAAAATATGTTTTCATTTTACCTTTACCCTATAAGTAAAATAAAGTTAGTAAGCATTTTTAGATAAAAAAAACCTGTAGTTTACAGTTCCTTCTTTTTTTAGTGTTAAAAAAATGCGAAAAACATTGGAGAATATTGATGAAATCAACTTGAATCTCAGTGAATATTGTTTAAGATATCGATATAGTTAAACTTTTCAACATCCCATAAATTATGGTGAACTCTAATAAACATTTATCTGATTCAATAAAACAACTAATGAAAAAGATTGAAAATTTACTGGCAACAAAATTAATTTTCTAAATAATTATATAAATTAGTTTGCTTAAAATACCATAAGGATAAAGGATTTCATTTGCCCACCTTAACGTGATTCCAGTGAAAATGATTAAAAACCGTAGACAAATTTTTGAAACAAAACTGAAATAAACTTAAACAGGATATTAGGGATTTATTATTGACTAAAATTTAACTTTGCTCTACATTATTCACTTGATCATATAAAATCTAAACACAGAAATAACTAGTTTAAATTGCAAAGTTAACTATAATATCGAAGGATATAGCGTCCATCAGACGCTGATCAGAGGCATAATAGTGATTAGCAGTAGCAGCACATTACACTCTCTTGTAGAAAGAGAAGAAATATAGTTTGCCTATATGAAGTCAAGTTACTACTCATACATTTGTTTAAAATCAGTCGTTTCCGAAATGTAAAATTAGGTTATGGAAACAAAGTAAATGAGGGTTGTTTTTATTTTTATAGAATTAAGAGCAATCACTCACGGTAGTTACTTAAGCATATCTAAAATGATAGATAAATTCTGGTTTTCTGTTTAAAAATATACATAATCAAGTCTTGTATTTACTTTGGCAGTTGAATAATAAAACAAAAGCAGATTCAAATTACATCATTTTCAACATGGTTGACTGTTATATCTCACGTACTAAGCAATCCATTATATTTCATTTTAAGATAATCAAGTTAATTCACAACTTATTCAGTAACTTCACAAAACAAAATCCACACATTGTGATGCAATCTAATACTGATTGAAGGTGATAAATTTTGATGAAAATTTTTTCCTAGTTTTTGGGTGTGATTTTGTTATTGAAATGTGATTGTTATATTATTCAAATACTCTTATGACTATAGATAAAATCAAGATTATAACTAATGTTGTCAAAAAACTAACAGTCAAAAACAAATTGCTGAAGGTTATATATTTGCAATTAATTATGTTTTTTACAGACTGAATCACGAACCAAATGTGTGGATGAAAAGAATTCTACTAAAATCTTCAATAATTCTGTTTATTCGATTAGGCTGTAGATATTTAGCAATCCATTTCTTGATGTCTCATAGCAATTTATTATTAGCAATGAGTTTTCCTATGCACAAAATCTCAGAGTTGTTGTTGCTTATATCTAGAAAATTAATATATGGAAAATATTCTGCGTAAATTATGGAGCATTTATATGCCTCATTAAACATGAGTTTGTAAAAGTGGGAACCGTTTATACATGATTCAAATGTCAATAAAGTTTATATACAAAGATCGTCGTTCATTGGCAGAAAGATTATTGTTAATAATTTCATAATATTTTGGTGTTTGACTTGTTTTGAACTTTTTGATTCTAATTCATTTAAAAAACGTCATCTGAATTTCATATAACCAGTGTTCATCAAATCCACCAAAAGATAGTTCTACGATATCGTGGATAGGTTGAAACTTGATTTGTACACATATAGGCCACGGCTTTACATAGGAAACGAATTGTGTTGAGTTTGGTTCCTGAGTGCAAGGTTATGGATGTACGCTTTTGAGAAGTCCTATTCTAGGACTGATCGGTAATCTAATGCTTTCAGATTTTCGACGGTTTTCTTAAGTGAGCTTGTAATTTCAGTGAAATTAAACTTTACTTATAAACATTGAAATGAAAATCAAACAAAGTAAATGAAATAGTTTAATTTCACTTTGAAATTTAAATCCTCCACACCGGAATAATCCAATGCATTATGAACATAATCCTCACAGTACTCAATACTAACCTTAACCTGTTAATTCAGAGTTAGCAGAATGTTGAGGGTTTAAAATACAACATTGAAGCATTTTTATGTGCTTAATTTACAAAAATAAAACTTTCCTAACAGATATGAGTAGTGATAAATCATTGCATAAAGCTCAAACAACTCGACATTTTACCTTAACATTAATTTCTCCACGATATTCCAAAGTGTATGGGAATTCGGAAAGGCTAACAGCGAATGTTTGACTGACATGTATTCGATCAGGCTAAAACAAAATGTTCGATCGTTATTAACTGATGACTTTTTTGAATTAAGCATTAACAAAAGAATAAAATTTTAAACAACCTAAATGTAACATATTTGTCCAGTTTTTTTGGAATACTTTAGCTAAATTATCAAATAAATTAAAGATAGTTTTAATAGTGGGTTTACATTAAGTATCAAAAAAATTGAGATTAACTTGCGACACCACAAAAGTGTAGAGCTGTGACTGTACAAAGAATTAAACTTAATGCCATAGAACTTGATTGTCACTACTTTAACCAAGAACTCTTGATGTCAACTTATGCTAATCTGAAATGAAAACTGCTTTCAAAATTAACAGACAAAATGCGTTTACATTAGTAATAAGTCTTAAAGTAAAGGAAAACAATTGGCAATTATACAAGCATGATAGTAAGATAATCTAGCAATCAAGAAGTATAAGTAAATTGTGTTAAGTTTTAGATAGGTCATAAATTTTTCTGATTTCCATAATCACAAGTGTTTACATTGAAAGAGTTTACAAACACTAAAATTCACGTCCTTAATTTCAATTCATTTAAAATATTATGAACTATTATCCAGTTTTATCCAAAATACGTCTCATTTGTCACATGTTTGGATTCCTTCAGTCCGGAGTTCTGTAAAAAATTTGAAAATCCATATCTTTTGTTAATAAATCTGGGTGGATTTCGTGTGCTTACCGGGCTGTCAACTTACTATATTTTCTTGTCTGTCTATCTTTCTGATTTCCGGATGTTACCCTTTGCACACACACACACCCTAAGCACGTACCATCAGCCTTGACACAAACCTATCGAAAACGGAACGTTATGGAATTAAATAACTGCATTATTCAGTTTTGTGTATGAGAACAATTGTATCGTTTCTTTTGTGCTGTATGAATATTATATATTCGAACTTACCACACCACTAGACATCATTCTGCTAGCTGTATTCACTGTATCTCCAAATAAACAATATCTTGGTGTTTTATGACCAACTATACCAGCTACAATTGGTCCTGTATGACATCCGATAAAAAGCTTTAAAACTTCTTTCTCCTCTTCATTACCATCATCATCGGTATCATTACTGACATTGGATTTAGGCCATGCTAAAGATGCATGAGTAACTTCCAATATGTTTAATGCCATCTCTGTAATATGTGCAGAATGAAAACGTGTTTTATGTGGTGCTCCAGAGACAAGCATATAACTGTCACCAATAGTTTCAACCTTAGATAAATTAAAACAAATCGAAATAAACTGTAAAAAATTATTTTTTTCAACAATTTTTAAGTTCTTAAATTACTTCATTTTTTTACTAATCGATTAGAATGAAGGTAAATGTTAAATAAATAAAAGTAATTTAGACATTTGAATTCAGTTAGTTATTAAGTATTGATCTAATTTACTTCATGAAAGATTAGTTGTTTCCGAAATACTTTCAATCTAGATATGTTGTATTGTACTTAAATAGTATATTGAAGCACATTATTTTGAAACTTTATGAAATTAATCTTCAGGATAACATGAAATGTTCACTGATTTTGAGAACCATAATGTTCTCTGAAAACTGTTGTCAGTTAGGAAATTCATGGACGATAAAGGACACCGATGCTTATTTTGAGCCTTACTTTTGACAGATCATAGAATTCTAACTTCTCTGATATCAAGTTTAAAGAATGTAACCCTAACTTCAATTCCGCAGATAGTTACGGCATAATAAAGTCATCTATGAATAAAACCAGTAGACAATATATATTCGAATTAATTCTGCTTGTGTTAAAGAGATTTTTTGGATTGATTTGATTGCTTAATAATTACCCACCTGTGATTTGTTGTTCCGTAAGTCACCGTTTCTTATTACAATCTTTAGAAGTGCATATTCATAACCAAAGAAAACAATGCTTAACACAATTATTGTTTACATTGTCACCTAAAAGTAATTTCTCTAGTATTTTACAAAATACACTGATGTGATACTTTGGTGGCTGTGTGAAATTTGATTTAGTAACCCGAAATCTGACTTCGGTATTTATGAGCAATTAAATATGCTATGAAATTAATCTTCCCTTCCACTTCTAAAAATCACATCTAGGCGAACTCTGTTTATGCGATGACGGTGATAAGAAGCCAAATATGGATTCAGTTAGGTATGTTCGTTTAATGCAATCGTACATGCAAACAGACGTGAGGATATGAAGCATACAAGCAAAGTGAAGTGGCGAAGGCGAGTGAGCCAACTCAATACGATGAAGCATGGCTAAGTATTTATATTCAGAGAAAATGAGCTAGACATGTAGTAAGCAAAGTAAGCATGTACACACATACTTGAATAAAAACAATCTAGATATGGGCGAATGATTGACAAGGTCAGATAACTCGAGAAGAATGGATTGAATAAAATTGTCCAAAGGCTAAGACAAACCCTGTGGGCTCGACATATTGAAACACAAACAACAATCTTTCAATGTGATTGCAATGAAATTAAAGCCCATAAGAGTAATTGTTAATAGTATGTTTTTAAATGGAAAATTTAACTCACCTTGTAAACATTTGAAGCTTCTGTGAGATCATCAAAAAGTGTGTACATCTTATTTAATAGCTCCACAATTTGATTTACACTTGTATGCATACATTTTGCAGAGAAGTTGAAAACTTTTGTAAAACATATGCTTACAGAATCATATGCCTAGTAAAATTTAAAGTTTAGATCATGTTATGTAAATCTTTTTATCGTCTCATAAAAGATTGTAAATACGTATGTCACTAAAAAGTTACAAAAAGGCTGAAAATATATATTCAGTATATATAGAAATTCATTTGGTTTTCTAAGTGCTGTAAATTTAAGTTTTTCTTACTCAAAACAAAAATTTTCAATCCAAAATTCTTCTAGAGTATTACGTAAAGTAGGGTTGTGGAGACTGCTGAGTTTCCGTGAAACCATTAGTCGATCAACGCGATACCACCACCGGAAGCCTGGAAACACTGGACGTATGTCTCGTTCTAGTATGGGCATCCACGACCCAGCAAGTGGGAACCGAACCCAGCACTTCAGTCTCACAAGTGAGTTCTTAACGCCTTGACCACTGAACCGGCATCCAACGGTGTTAATGTCTAACCTACATCAAATCTCGAAGAGCTAGTAAAAAGCCATGACCAGTGAAGTTCAACAGGCTCAGTGGTCAAGAGATTAATTGTCTGCTTACAAAACCAATGTGCCGGGTTCGGTTCTCGCTGGCTGAATCGTGAATGGTCGCTGATGATGAGTCCCACGTTAGGTCAAGTCAGACGTCCGGTATTTCCAAATTTCCAATGGTGGTCTCACTTTGGTCGACCCATAATTCCAACGGAAATTGTAGTCAATCTACTTGATTTCTTAATTATTGTTCTCATTCTTATTTTGATATTCATACATTTCAGTGACTGTCATTAAAAATGTTTTATAACATGCATTTTAGTTACCTCTATAGTTTCAATCGCTGGAGTGCCATCACGTAGTTTACGAGCCACTGCTCTTGGAATACACTGATACAAAAGTCGATCAGTTAACTTTCTCATTTTATCCAAATGTTTCATATTTCTTTCCAATGCCTCACTTTTTTTACGTTGCTAAAAATTGCCCCAAAATAAAATATAACCAACTGTTTACACTGAATAATAAAATTAAAAATGCGCTAATTGTTGGAAATCATTTTATCTTTGATGAAGTTAATTTGAATATTGTCATTATATATTCCCTCATTCATCATACAGTTTTATGTAGGGTATTTGTTATACAGTATATGCAGTATATTTGTTGGGACTAAGTGAATAAGTTAAAATGTGTTTTTTACCAAATATTGTTCTAATCATCTAATATAACTGATAAATACAAATGCATGCTTTAAAGTAGCAACTTGTCGCTAAAATACATGATATGCATTTGGAAGCAAGTCATTGATAGGTTCTTAATTTCATACTTCAAGGTTTTTGACAAGTGTTTTATGATCCTTAGGTGGTGAAGAAAAATTTTTGCTCAGGAGGATGATTATGGTGAAGTTTTGTTCTCTGAGTTGGTTGGTGTGGTTGTGAAGCTTTCATTGTTCTTCTAAATGACATTCTCAAAACAAACTTTAGGTAAACGTGAAATGTTCGAATCGCTCCACATATGACTTGCAGCTTGTCCCGTTGACCTTGATCTTGATTGGTTGTTATAACAACACTGAAAGCTCCACAACCAAAGCATCCAAATCTGATAACGAAACTCTCACATACTAGTTTATTAAATTCATATTTCATACTAATAGTGATAATAAAATTACTTCATTTAATCAGTGCAAAAAATAAATATACAAGAACACTAATATTCAATCACACAAAATCATTCAAAATACTAACATTAGGCCAAACTTTATCCCATGAATTTTACAATACATAAAAAACACTTTTGTAAACTGACCATTTGAAATAATTTCACTAGTTCATCTGAAATTCGATCACCACAAATGATTACATCTCTACTTCGATCAAACATATTTAAATCGCAGATATAGAGACCATGTTCACTTAAATGTCTGATATCACGTATGCTAATTTTGAAAATAATAAAATGAAGTAATTTTTCTTTCTTTTTTTCAATAAATTACAAGGAAATATCAAATTGTAAAGTGTGTTATATTATCTTTCAACAAATCGATCAACTTTGTCAGCGTATTTCCGTACGTTATTATTTTTAACACAATATTTTCGGGGATTGCAGTGACATCATGGAACATCAAACGGACGCCTTATGATTTTCGAAAGTTTGATGAAAAACAACCTCTAGTCTTTTAAAATTTAACAAAGTTAATTTTATCAAAGGCTTGAAATCTAATTCAGACTGGCAAAAAGAAAATCATAGTTAGTTTTTTCTGCCCTGGGAAGTTTTCTTCCAGTAAACTTTTTTTTCTGTGAATTTCCTTCAGTAAACCATGTTTGAGTCCATAATCTTATTTACAACTGACTGAACTTCACTTATTCCATTCTTAGTCACCAATCATTAAGTAATTACTTAATCACTATCTTATACTCTTATATTACTGCCATAGTTGATATAGTAGAATCTTTTTTACTTTTTACATGTATCTGTAACATTTGATTCGACCATTTGGAGTTTATCTGGATGTTTGCTACATTGTATTGGTACGTAAGTTCTTATTTCTATAATTATGTAGGACTTTACTTGAAATTTTGATTCCGAATAGTCTGGGTTAGAACGTAAAATGGATTCACGTTACTATGACTTTTTAAAGTATTGTACCTGTACTCTTCAATTAGGAATCTTTTCGATAAAATATGCATTACTAACAAGTATTTCCATTTGTCAGTATTATATAGAATATTTTATATTAAGATTTACGAATAATGTTTTTGATATATATATATATATATATATATATATTATTAAAAAACGTATACTATACTCAAGAATTATACGTAACAAACCAGATAAACTTTTTTCATTTTGATTTTGAATAACTTTTCCATGGATGTTGTAATCTGTGTTTGAAATAAAAAATCTTATTCATACTACTCAATAATCTAATGACTAGACAATCTATAATGCTTTTCTATGCAGTAAAGTTAGAAAGATCACAAATTGCTTTGTCAGTTGTTTTCATTGCAAACTAAAGTATGTTGAAGAACTACTAAAAGCCCCGAAGCGTTGGGGTGGTGTGTCGTTTATTATTGAGCCTGTTCTGACCGATATCTCCACAAAATCAAATCCAGAACTCTTTTGCTTCAAAGCACTTCAGTAAACAGTTTATACACATATACATATACATGTTTATATGCAGAAAACGTATTCAGCAAATATGAATTTGAAACTTACGACGGTGCACCTAGAAATAACAACATATTCCATTCTTCAACAAAACGCATTTCACCTCTAAATTTACATACTGCCTTATCAGATAATAAGTGATCACTGTTTTCTAGTTCGTCAAAGTAAAACAAAATCAAAAAAGATGAATGTTTATCTCAACATAAATTGTCATTAAGTTAAAAATTTAAATACTGTAATAATGTCATACATCAATAAAAAATTGAATCATATACTCTACTCAGTTGAATTTAAGTTACTGTCAGAAACTGTTTTAGAGGACAACTGGCAAACATGAGTTATAACATAATGAATTAGGATTCGTAGAGAAATTTATGAGGTCTTCAGGGACTAGGTGATGGCTGAAAGAACTTGCCTAAAACACCCGAGAAACTTCGAAAAAATATTCAGATTATGTCATATTTCATTCTCTGATTATTGACTCTGTTACAAAATTTAGCATGTTTGCATAATTTTCCTGGGATCATAAGACACCAGCAGGCCTATAAATAATCCTCCTTCTTACAAAGCAACGAGTTTTGATGTAAGACATTTTATCATACTTCGCGCACATCTTCTGTTGTTCAGAGGTAAAATGCAGGATAATTCTAAGGATCTGGAAAGCGAGAAAATTCATCAGCAAGCTTTCATGTTGAAGGATAATCATGAGTCACGGTCGTTTAATTACATTTAATCGAAGCTCTCTATATCGCTACGGTGCTGAAGAATGGAATCCATACTAAAGTACTGATAAGTTAATAAACCGAATGATATCTATATTGGTTTGTGTCCTTTATTTATGGAAATATTTTTTTCTGATTTCGAGACAGATTTCACAATTGATTCACGTCGATCAGATTATCGATGAAAACTAAGCCCTACTTGAAAACTGCTTCATCTTAGTTTGAGGATTCTTGAAAATATACTCATAAAAATCAGTGAGAAATTGCATCTGTCATCAGTAAACTATCAGTAAAATAAGAATTTATTGCCTTCTGTAGTTTACATTTACTGAAGAAACAGAACATGAACGTATATAGTGGTTAGAGATTAACATTACAAGAATATATTTTTTAGAAAATATATCCTAATTTATGGATGTGAAACATGGCTTGTCAGAGTAAAAGATATTCCTAGGTTGCTTGTTTCGATAATATGTGTCTCCGAAGCATTGCTCATGTATCATGGGACAACCGAGTAAGCAATGCTGTTGTTAGGAAACGGGTGCTAGGTTAGGATGGCAGGTCAATAGTTGAAGTATTGAAACTTCATCAGTTGAGGTGGTTGGGACATGTGCTACGTATGCCTAACCACCGACTGCCTCGTCGAGCTGTATTTTGCGGTGTAGGGATAGGTCGGGTGAAATCTAGGGGTGGCCAAACCAAAACATGGCACAAATCCATGAATCCACCGACATGTGGATTGAGTCATGTCGGTAGGTGTCGACTACCTGGTTGAGAACCGCAAGATAATAATAATTGATGGTTAGAGACCCTGAATGACTGGCTCAAAACCGTTTGCAATGGCGCAGATGCATTCATTCTTTGTGTTCTCTCAAATCCTAACCTTCTAAATTCACCGTCACCTTTTTCTTTTCCAGTTTATTTCACTAAATTCTCCTTCTTGAATAATATCTTCGAACCCTAATCTCTCTGATTATTGCTAACACTTTTATTAACTCTTCTACTATTGGATTTGAATTGAAGATTACATCTCTGTGGTAATGTGGTAATGTACGAAGTTCTACGTTGCTGTTGATTGATTGGTTGAGAAAATACAGGGTATATTGTTTTTTAAGAGATTCTGTTGTTGATTTTATTTTATCACACAAATGTTTACTATAACTCTATTTCATGATCAGTCGATACTTCAAAATTGATTCAACAAATCTTACTGATATATAACTCGATGATATAATTATTACTTTTCTGATGAAAGTACAGTATCAACATCTACATGTAAAAGTTAAGATAAATTATGATTATAAGCTAAACCGTTTAAGTTCATTATTTTAATTGCATGAGCTTTATTAGTTTTATAACAGAGTGCAGTCAGTATAATTGCTGGAAAATCGATTCAATAATGAGATTTAAAAATTTTCTTATTCAGTAAAATATCTAAATCACATCAACAATAATTGATGATTGACGATCTACTTACTATTCACACCTAAATTTTTCATCAGAACCAACTCAAATGTATTGTGCATGTGAAGTTTAATCTGGAAAAATAAAGAATGAGAACACAGTAGATAAAGATATAGCTTGATAGCATTATGTAATTTATGTACAACTTGAAATGAAGTATTTACTATACTTATTCTGTTCAGTCAGACGTTAGACTGTTAGAGATTGGTAATCAGACGTTTTAAACTAGAATGAAACAACTTTTCAATACTGTCCGAAGTCCAATAATTTTATAGATGATATTGATGTTTGATGAAAAGTGCAGCCATAATTCAAAAAAATTTCAGTCACTGATTACCATTCTAGATCATATCAATTCAAAGTAAAGGATAACACGCTAACTGTGATAATTAATTTTTTTTAAGATTACATTTTAAACTATTTCAACATCTTAATAAATCTGATTGCTACATATATTAAATTAATTATCGGCATTGTAAAACAAGTTTAAAAATTAATTCAATTTTTACTAGTAACATACTCTTAAAATGTTATGCATGGTAATATCAACTAAAAAACCTATGAAAGTAGTTCTGATATGAATAATATGTAAAACGAATCATAATTGGCAATACAAGGTGATTGTTTTAATGGGCTAAAGTTGAAAATATGGACGATTGGATAGTATCTTGACTGTTTGAATCATACATTTTAGTAGTATAACAAATCATGAATGTCTGAAGAATGCACATTTAAAGTGTCTTATCCAGAGGTTTTCAATAAATGATAAAGAAAATTTGGTAATTACTGTAGACCGATTTCAACTTTACGAAAAAAAAGTTTGAAAAATGAAAAATCAGTAGTTTATAAACAAATTGAAAAAAAGCATAGTTGTAGATAATTTATTGTGCTCAATCTACAGTTGAGTTGTTTATGAGGTTTTGGGGATTGTGGACGAACTAAATCAGATGCGCTTAATGATAGACACCGTCAGCATCAATCTACTGTGGGAACGAACAAACCAGATTCCAACGAAGGAAGAAATCAGCAAGAAGCGGTGGAAGTGGATAGGATACACATTGCGGGGATCACTCGACTGCATCACGATACAAGCCCTCATTTGGAACCCTCAAGGTAAAAGGAGTAGAGGAAGGCCAAAAAACATGATACGCCGAGAAACAGAGAAAGATATGACAAGAATGAACAAATATTGGACAGAACTGGAAAGGGACAGAGTAAGTGGAATAACACTGGTCGGAGGCCTACGCTCCATTATGGGTGACAGGCGAAAGTAAGTAAGTAAGTTTATCTTGGCAGCATTTTAATTTAACTTATTCAGACTTCTGAAAATAAATTATCAAAAAAAGCATGATTTACGTACGAATAGTATATTTCTTCTTTATATGATTGCAAATAATTGCTCAACTTCATTAAAAATCACCTAAACGTTTCTAAGCGAATGTGTATTATAATAAAAACAAATTCTTTTTAAGTAGCTTAGCGAATGAACAGTATTAATCTCCACTGAAAACAATTACCGCAGGATGGTTATATCTGTCGTAAATCACAATAATTGAATGTGAAACTATGAGTAATTGTAGAAAATGCTGATCTCAAAGTTATTTTCGTAGACATATTTACAGGTTTTAAACCGTTTCCTGTTGTTTCGATTCACCATAAGTACTAATGATAAATAAAAAATTAGAATGCGTTTCGCAAAGCGATTTTCGTCGGGCACTAGAAAGACTCTTTGTATTAATGGCCATTATTATGAAAAGTTTAAGTTGCTTTCACTAGATTCTACTTCTTGAATAACATCTTCGAATCCTTACCCTCTGATTACCGCTATTACTTTTACTACCTCTACTACTATGGTATTCGAAGTGATAGTTGCATCTCTGTGCTAATTTGGTATGGCAACTTTAACGGATGTAAGTACGTACGTAGTTCTATGTTGTTATTGACTGACTGACTGAATATGAAAACCTCTAGAAACATGGATATACATCTTATCAACAGCAAAATGTTTATGATTAAAAAAATGACTAAAAGTAACTAGCATTACGTGTAGCTCATGTCTTCATAATAAATTCTTGTTAATAACCACATTTTCTCAGATAATAAGCTTAATATGTTCATAGCTAGAGTAATTTTACACAGAAAATCTGGAAATTTTTCTCTCGATTTCTTACTAAGCTAAACTGAAATGAAGCCTTGTTTATCTTCAATCCAATGTTATAAAAAGTGTTATACAATCTATTCCAAATTAACTAAAAATCCCATAAAACTATATCACATTTGAAATCTCTCTTCAAAAGTTCATATCTGCATATGTAATTACCTGTTCAAATGTACAATTTATTACTGGATGTCTAATTAAAAACAGTTCCGTAAAACTACATCCAACTAAATTATCACATATCCGTGCAACAGCTTCACCAACTTTCATAATCATTAAATTTTGATTAATTACAACATAAAATGGTAATAACGAATGTAATTCATTACTATTTATACTTGATTGTATAATATCATTAGATAGACATAAAGATTTAATATTTGGCCGAAATTCCTTCATTTGTAATCTACCATTAAAACAATAAATTCTAAAATAACTTTCAATAAACAATGACGATGACGATGTTGATGATGGTGATGGTGATGGTGATGATGATGATGAGAATAGTGATAATGTAAGTAAATTTTTCTTTTCTTGACTAATTAACTCAACTTGTACATCTAAATTATAAATTAATTTTGCTACATTAATCAATTGTCCTTGAACAAAATAAGTAAAACCTTTACGTTTAGTACAATATAACAAATGTATCATATGATCATTTTCAATTTTAGTAACAGTAAATGATGGCGGTCTAATGAATGGATAAATACGTTTAATTTGTTTATGTATTTCATCGACATTCGTTAAAAAATCAACAAAATCTACACCCATCACTTTTAATACACTTGAAAAACCAGAATCTATTAAAAATTGTATAAAATATTTTCCATTTTCTGTATATAAATCATTTAGTGATAAATGAATTAGTTTCGATAAATTCTGCATTAATTTATCATATAAATCTTCTTGATATGTTTGATTTGTTTGAAATATTTTCTCCGTACCAATAACGTTATATAAAATTTGTGACCATATTTCATCATCATAAGTTGTTTGAATAAATTTACGTAAACTTTCAAATAATAAACCATACATGAAATTTATTTACAAAATTTATTCAGTCCAACTGAACAGTAGTCAGTATTCAAATGATCTTTCTGATTGTGTTTATCATACTACTAATTTCACTGACTTGAACGTATTTATAACTATAGAGAATATGTCAATCAAATAAAAAAAATTGTATTCATGGATCTTTAGATTTGGTTGTATTAATTAGCATAGAATAAAAGAGAACAGTTATATAACATGATTGATAGTAATTGTTTTATTTGTATACAGTAAACTAGTGGGTTATTCCTATGAAAATACTTTTGGTTACATTTATCTACTACTAGTACTACTACTACTACTACTACTACTACTACTAATACTACTACTACTAACACTACTAATACTAATACTAATAATAATAATAATAGTAATAATAATGCGTAGCGATATTACTCATTTTTAATAAATAAAAAAATAGTAATATCATCATCTGAAAACTATCATTGAAAATTGTTTTCGAGACAACGAATGAATTATTTGTCTTGTATCATATTCCTCCTTAGACAGATAAAAAAAATTTAATTGCTTTCTAATGAAGATATTAATTAAGATATGATAACATAAAATTCAGTCCTGCGTTAATGGGCTACATTTAATCGAAATAAGATGAATATTTTATGGTTTTTTTGATTTTTTTTTTTGAAAAAAAACAAAAAACAAAATTTCTTTCATTCATTCATGATGAATGAAAAATTAAGAATAATAATAGGGGTAAGTTAGCATGAACATTTTCATCATCATCATCATCATCATCTTCATTAGTCTGTACTTTATATTTTTTTCTCTGTTCCTATTTATGTTGGTAACCTTTTAAAAAAAATAATTATATAAATATGTCTGTATTTATAATTGACTCTGGGTGGTATTATTTTACGTAGACTTTTCTCATAGTTTTTACCCATGAAATAGTGTTTCAATTTGTTTCTCTAGGGTGTTGTTTGGCATTGGTTTATAAGAATAATGTAACTTATTTATGCTGAGTCCTTGAACAAGGTATAGTCTACTTCTTTCTGTAGCATGCCCACTACATAAACTCTAATCTACCGCTTGGCCCTATGGCGACACTCAGCTATCTGGTTTTTAGCTATGTCACTTAATAAGTTTAGATGTGCTCAGACTAGCATCTCTCTTCCTGTAAAGGTTTTATCTTAGACTCCAGTTACATTGTGACTACATCAATTATAGGAATAAAATTTAGTCACTTGTTTCATATGCGGAAAATTCATTTTAAGTAAACATCAAAATCGCTGGTATAAAAATTTAGATTAGTCAGTTAGCTACAATGGTCTTTCGTTAATTAAAATTATAAACCACAGAAAAGCCGAATGAGTCATATAAAGGTTAAACGCTCATCTCAAAAACTAAATGTCATGGTTTGATTCCCCATTTGGATTGAAGAGTTTCTAAAGAGTCCCATAATAGTCCTGAAGAACTATCAAGTGTTTTTGGTCTTCAATTGTTACCTGTCTTAGGTTCCTTTATACTGTAAACTAGAACAAAAAGGGATTAATACAAATGTGAAGAATTCTTTAAAATTACTGTAGTTAATCCATGTAGTAAATTTTCTTGTTAATATTATTCGTTCTGTAACTCAGTATTGTTCTGAATGTTTTACCAGTTCATCACTAAAATAAGTTAATTCTGTTCAGTAGTTTATAGAATGCCATAAAAATTCATTTGTTATGTTTCGATTACAACTCTGAATATGTGAATCAAAATTGTAATGGAATATTGAAAGATAGTCTACAGTGAATCTGAATGCATTTATTTTTATTGTTTATGATTTGTGATATTTTAATATTGTGCCTATTGTAAGCATTCATTTAACTTGATTGATATTTGGTTGTGCATAAATAAAAGTGAACATTTATCTGAATTACTCAGTTTTTGTAACATAAATGTTCTGGTAATATACATTTTGAGATTCATTATTTACCGTACTCCACAGGTTTGTATTTTGTAAGTATCATTAAATAAATATAAAGTTTGAATAGTACATAAAACAGTGGTAGATTTGATTTGTATTTCTGAAGTTCCGATTGGTAGATAGGAATGAAGAAAGAGATTCTGTGTGGTCACTCGGTTGTTTCAGTATATACACAAGAATAAAAGAGAATTAAATGTTGTGCATACTGATATCTCGTTATACGATAAGTAATTCTGTATATTTTTTTCAACTTTTATATGAGTTTTCAATGTTAATTTATCAGGTTAGTTTTGTACTGCATACAGACTTATGGATGAACCAGTTCAATTTTAATAAACAATATAACATAATAAAATTGACAAACATTCAATAATGCATACAGCAAATGAGATGTAAATGAAGTGGAAGCAAAGACGATATAGTGAAATTAATCAAACACTTTCCAGACTCACCTTAAAGCATCATACGGCTTTTCTTTTAGAAGTATTTCATCAATCCTAGTCTTAATTTCCCAATACAACTATTTTTCAAAATCCTCTATAGAATTAAACTAGTTAGCTCAAAGGCACATCAATCAACACATTTACTGAAGAGGATTTAGAAATCCAACAGTTCAAACATGAACGATGAGCACTAAACCAGCACATCAAATCTCACATTCATTTAGATTATTACCACTCCCCCTAGTTTTGTTGTTCACTTAATCTGCTTAAACTCTGAGATTGTAGAGAAGATATGTAGTTCGGGTGGGTGTTTATGGTAAAGTTTCATTCTCAGAGATGGATAGTTTAGTTCTGAAGATGACATTGTTATTCTACACAACATTATCAGCAGAAATCTTAGGTAGAAGCAAAGTATTCGAATTTCTCCACATATGGCTAGGTGCTTGTCCTGTCGAGAGACTTTATTTCTAACTGAAGTTTCTTCTGATAATGTTGTGTAGAAGAACAATTAGAGCATCAGAACTAAACCATCTGTCTCAGAGAACAAAATTGCACCTCTAAATTCCTCGCTTCTTCATATTTGTAAAACGAACAATCATCTTTGATATTTCCTATCTGAAGACCACTTTTATCACACTATTTTTCTTTAACCTTTAGACCATCATCTCGTGACACTTAAAATCTTTGGATACTTTATGCTAAAATCAACTCTTATTTTTTATAGAGTTGTTATTTATGTTAAATCAATGTGAATACATTTATATACAGCTACAGTAAATAACATCGTCAAAAATAGAATTTTCTTCAATTAAGTGTATTGATCTTTTACTTTACTAATTCAATAGAACATTTTAACTATTCGAGAAACTGAAGGGCGGTATTCATCAGAAGTTAGTGATTTTTTGTTTTCCCCGCCTTTATAAACATACTGGGTTACTTAGTAATAATGATGGTCATAAGCTAAACAACAAAATCTGTCAGTCTCATATTATAACCAATTTTATCCCAAATAATTGAATGAGAGATGTCATTATCAAAATACTCTGAACGTTTAATGTTTTGCTGTGTAGTCACTTGATTTTTATTTGAAGTAGATATGAAAATATTTTCAACCAATTAATTAATCATTACTACATGATGTCTCGATTAAATTATATTTAAATCAAACTGACAACTAGCCATTTAACAATTGTACACTTACAATTATTGAATTAAACTTGAAAGGCTTAGAAAAAAAAGCTTCAACTGCCAGTAACTATCACAGACAGATATTGATAATTACATGTAAATACCAAATTGAGTTATATTGTTTTGAAATTTTCTATACACCAGTTATTAAAGTATGTTTACTTGAAAATACTCAAGTTAGAGCAACCATTATGATACAACATACATGTAGATTATCAAATGAATGATAGGTTAAGAGTTCTTCGGTATGTCTGTGTGTAAGTCATATTATTTTTAAATCAAAGACATTCATTTTGATGGGTATGCATAACAAAGCTTTACTTCAGTCTGATTAATTAAATAAGTGCTATAAAAGTACTAAATCTTTTTAAAAATAACAAATATTAAAAGTATGTGTTAACGGCTGAAACTTTCTTTTAATCTTTCCCACTTGTGTTTGTTAGTAAATTTACATTGCAAAAATGACAAATTAGTTCATTCTGATGTATATTAGTTAATTTCTATCCGATTAATGAGTTAAAGTCATTTGAAAGTCATCAACTTTAACCAATCAATAATGGTCTAACACTTCAGAATACCTTTGTTATCATGATAGGAACACAATGTAGTAACGTATGAATTTATAAGTCGATTAGGTAGGGTTAATAAATATAAACGAATTTCATTACCGAGTAAAAACTGAAAATCATCTTCAAAAGTGTAAAAATCATAATATTTCAAACAATTTACAACAATTTTTCATAGAGTAGAATTTTAGAAATATTACAAAATTCTTCTGAAACTTACTTCTTCTAAATTTGGTTGAATATGTGGTTTAAATAATAGAAACTTTTCATTAAAATCGGAACCTTCAAGAGATGGATCTAACTTACGAAATGATATACCAGCTCGTTTAATTTTCATTCGATTTGTTATTAATAACGAAAAAGCGAATATATCAAAAAATACATTACTAGAAATTGTATCACCCCAACTATCTAATGGTTTTTGTATGTAACATTTTTGTGGATCAATCCATCGTTTACCATTTAATGCATAAATATCATAAATAGTATGATAAACGCTGTCAATAATATTCGTCTCAATGAATATTACTTTAATATCAAGATTATATAAACGTTTAGCCAATGTAATTAATTGTCCACGAACATAATGTGTATAGCCTTTACGTTTTGTGGAATATTTCAAACGTATACAATCACTTGTCGCTTTAACAACAGAAAATGATGGTGGCCGAATATTTGGATATGATAAACGTAAATATTCATGTAAATTATCTAAATTGTGCAAAAAACTAATAAAATCTCTTCCTTGTACACGTAGTAGATTTTCATAACCATAATCTGATGTAAATGCAGCAAATGACAATCCAGTTTCATAAGTTACATTTTCAATACTTTCACCAGTTTCATGACTAAATGCTAAAAATAAACGTTCCGGTACTGTATCAGAATAAATATTATGCGTTTGAAAGGTTAATAAACCTGTATTGGATTTTTCAAGAATACGCATCCATACATCTTCACCATAAACTGATTCAACATAATTTTGTATACCGACAACTATTAGTCCATACATTAGGGATAATAATAATTTTATTTTCTATTCAATAAATGTAAATTAATTTATTCTTGTTTGTGTATCAATTATTATGAGCGCTTTAAAATGTTGATTAATTTGATAATTTATTGTATAAATTTTCATAGTTTACTTTTTTTTTCTGTCAATAAAATAAACCAATCAAATAAACCAATAATATAAAAATAATAATTGGTCATAATTTACTGCATGTATAATTTATATATAAATTTAGAAATTTATTTCATTTAAATATGATTTTATTTTATGTTTTTGGATAATTTTCATTTCATTTTGACGATATCCACCTAAATGTTTCTATCAAATCTAGGGTAAATCATTACGTAAATCGATCAACAATTTCAATTTTCTGCTTTTTTATAGTGATATAATATTTATACTTTCATTTTGATTGTTGAAACTTTATTTTAATTGCTTGTCGATTACAGCAATTATGAATAATTAACTAAATATTTTATAATTGAAATGTTCATGCTCAAATTTTATTTTAAGTAGTAGATTGAGTTTGAAAACAGTAGTTTATTTTTTTCAATGTAATAAACAGAATTGGAACTTTCATAGTAATGGGATATTTAGATCATTAGATAGTGAACTCAGGATATGGGTCGATAATGTGCATCACATTAAGGAATTGTGTTCAGTGATTTATTGTCTTTTATCTTTGTATACATGAATAAGTGTTTATAGCCAACCGAAAAATTTTTTGAAGAATATTTTTTGTCATCTTGTATATGGCTGTAATGAAAAGAGTACTAATGCAAATTTGCAGACATTTCAGATGGTTTGGATTAGGTTTACAGATAATAAGGCATGGGTGTTTTACAACTGATTGATCACAAAGTAGTATCAGTATATTTCGTTACAAACATTAAAACTTTATCCTAAGAGTAAGTGAGTTAAGATGACCACCAACTTAAGAATCGGTTTTGTAGTTATATAAGTAAGTGTATACATTTTCCTTTCGTTGTTATTCAGAACTACATTAAATTAGTCTTTATTGATATTTATTCAAATGGAATAGATTACCTTAGTATTACTTTTATTTACAAGTCCGATTAATCAAATCTGATTATGATTTGAATTGAACTTGTTGTACACAGGTTTGCAGTTAATTTTCAAATTATATACATATGGTTTACATATTTATCATTTCTCACTCTCCATTTTTAAGATAATTAACCAATCAAAGTTTTAATTTAAACAAATGAATCTAATCAGAAGTAAAAAAACTAATCAAGGAACTAACCAAAAGTATGGTCAAGTTTATTTTGAGTTATTAATGTGAATATTTTGAATTTTATCAACTGGTGGGAATTGATTGATTCTATTTGTTGCTTATTCGATGGATTTATTTTCATTTTATTTTATTCTCGACCAGATCGCAACTAAACATTGACTGCCTTCAATACTGGTAGTCATTTATAACATTTCCATCATTGAAAAACTAACGAAAAAAAATATAATAAAGATTCTAAATGTCACTGATAACCTATGAGACAAGTAAATCAACAGTGAACCAATGTTAATACTGTTGATATTTGACTAAATACTAACTATCCTGTCAACAATCATGCATCGATTCTATCGAGAATTTTTTACTTCCAAGCAAAAAAATAGTTTAAATAATAAAACCAACTTCAACTTTCTTATTATTTACTAATAAACATAATTTAATCTCAAAGTATATGAAGAACAAGTTTAAGATAGTTCCTGTTCTAGAATTTTTTTCAAACTTTTAATTATAATATATGAAATATGTAGGTTATTGTAACTTAAATGAATCTTTCACAATAGTTAATAATTTTTCGAATAATAATAATAATATCATTATTTAAACTTAGTAATCAACACTGTTATTATAGTAAATAAGGAATTAAATTTCTATTTATTATCGATTGCAATATTCATTAATTGAATGCCATCAATACTTTAGATTTTGTATATATATATATATATATATATATATGTCATAATTACTTGTGACCTTTAAACATCATGTGATCAAGTACATTTTCTGAGATAACCTATTTTTCTTCATTTGTAACATGATATTTATTTGGGTGGTTTTATAAATTTTTATAAACAGTTTTTTTAATGATTTACATTCAGAAACTTATATATGCTTTGGAAAAAAACGACTGAAACATAGAAACTTCATTATTTTCTGATTCTAGTTTGAGACTCCTCATCATTAAGCATCCATGGCTTACGCTAGGGGTAGAACCCGAGATCCTCATGTCTGACAGACAGCTTTATCAATAAAAAGGTTGTGGAAATTGCGGAGTTTCATCGAATTCATGAATCGATCAGTGTTAGAAAACCATTAAAAACCTGAAATCACTGAACGGTCGTTTTTTCCTTGTATGGGACCACTCAGTGGTGCACATCCACGGCCTTGCAAGCAGGAATCGAACCCAGGACCCTTGGATCCGCGCGTGAATGCTTAACCCCTAGACTCCTGGGTCAGCACCTAATGGCATTAACTTCAATCAATCCACGATGCTGACCGACCATCACCCATTGTTTTTGAAGGTGGTCTAACACTGATCAGTCCACGATTTCAATGAGGCTCAAAAAACTTCATAAACCTCACATTGATAATTACCGCACCATTTTAATTGATAACTAAGAAGATCACGCATGATACAGAACGATTGATTATTATCAATAAATATCTAGCTAAAAGATTTTTTTACTAGACTGAGCAACAGATTTACGGTTGACCGTCTGTTGTATGCTGTCAATAAAGGGTACAACAATGCACCACACGTGAGAGATAATCTTACGACAAAAATGTCATAAAACAACTGTGCGGTGAAAACTCTAGGATTTTGCCAGACGGCCCCCTCAAAAACAACGATCTGATATTTATATTCTTGTTTATCTTTCTTCCTCCCTGCAAACGTGTGCCTTTTTTAGTATCTTCCAGATAAATCCCAATATTTTGATTGCGAACCATAATCTGTAGTATCAGTTAAAGAGCAACTCACCAATGATATAGCATAAGAAAAGCAATCAGTCAATCAATAGCAATGTTGAACTTCGTACATACGTACGTACATCAGGTCATGTTGCCATACCACATTAGCACAGAGACGCAATTGTCAATTCAAATCCCATAGTGGTAGAGGTAGTAAAGGTATTAGCAGTAATCAGAGAGATTAGGGTTTGAAGATATTATTTAAGAAGTAGAATCTAGTGAAATAAACTTAAAAAGAAGAAGATAAAGAGAGAGAACACAAAGAGTGGAGGCACCTGCGCCATTGCAAACGGTTTTAAGCCATGTAATTTGGGGTCTCTAACCATCGATTATTATCTTCTCGCAGACCACAACCAGGTAGTCTACATCTACCAACATGACTCAGTCCACTTGTCAATGACTTCATGAATTTCTGCCATGTTTTGGTCTGACAGCCCCTAGCCTTCGTCCAACCTATTCCTACACGGCAAAATATAGCTTTTCGAGGCAGTCGGTGGTTAGACATACGAAACACATGTCCCAACCACCTCAACTGATGAAGTTTCATTACTTCATCAATTGATCAGCCATCCTTACCTAGTACTTGCTTCCTATTGGTAGCATTGCTTGCTCGGGTGTCCCACGATACACGAGCAATGCTTCGGAGACACGGATGATCGAATACTAGTAACCTGAGAATATCTATTACTCTTACCGGACATGTTTTGCATCCATATAAGAGAACGGAGCGAACTGCTGCACAGTACACTCGTCCTTTGCTTAGCAAACGGATATCTCGCCTACACCAGAAATGAGATAAGTTGGCAAAATCCAATCGAGCTTTCTGTATCCGTTATGAGATTTTGTCAGTCACCAGGCCATCAACGCTGATTAAACTCCCAAGATAAGTGAAGCGGTCTATACGCCCGACTACTTCACTCCATATCACTAGTTAAGGTGCCGACGCAAGCAAATCTTGAAGCAACATTTTGCGTTTTGAGGGTGAGAACCGCATCCCTAAGTTGCTTGCATTGTTGCTCAGAGTAGTTAGAAGACTATGTATTTTGTCAGCGTTTCACCAAGTAGAACTATGTCATCGGCATATCCTAAGTCAACAAGCAATTTTCCTAGTAGAAGGTCTACTCCTTAAAACTCAGACGAAGATAATGTTATATCTAGAAGCAGGTCTATGAAAAAATTAAACAAGAAAGGGGAAAGTGGACATCCCTGACGGACGCCATTTTAATTAGAGAATTCCAATAACAATTCGCCATAGGCTCTAACTCGACCAGTGGTGTTCGAGTAGAGAGCTTGTATAAGGTTAATGTACTTCTTTGGTACACCTTTCAATGACAGACACTGCCACAGAACCTCACGATATACTGAGTTGAATGCCGCCTTAAGGTCCAGGAAGACAACTACTGTAGGACGCCTAAATGTGTATCTTTGTTCCAGGACCTGTCTTAGTGTGAAGATGTGGTCTATACAACAACGTCCAGGTCCAAAACCAGCCTGGTTTTCTCGTGTTTGATCTTCACGAGCTCTAGTTAGGCGTCTAAGTATAATCGAGGCAAACAATTTAGAAACTATATTAGTTAGACTGATTCCCCTTTGATTGTCACAAGAGGACTTATGTCCTTTATTGTAGACTGGGACAATCAGTGACTTAGACCAGTCAGATGGTATTACGCCCAGTTCTCAGATTCTACGTGGGATCTCAGCAACTAGCCGCTAAAACTGGACCACCATCTTAAAAAAAGTAGTTAGTAGTAAATCGATTGCACCTGAAAATGTGAATCACATGATTATGAATCTTTCGTTAAGCCATTTAATATCACGTTGTATTTAAAATTTCAGTCGTTATACTTTATTAAACCATGTTGGTTTTTAATATATTTATGGAATGATTTACCAATCTTACGCTACCTAAATCTTAACGTCGCCACTACTCTAAGTTATATATTACTCTTACTTACGCCTGTTACTCCCAATAGAATATAGGCCGCCCACCAGTTTTCTC